CCGTCCCGTTTTTGCTCATTTCTCGGAGGCAAAATGAGCAAGAACGCTCATTTGTACATCATTCTAGAGAGAAAGAAATGACCTTTTTAGAAAGTGAACCATGGATGGGGAAATGTTGGCAGTTTTCTCAAAAATGGCTTGAATTCAAGAAGTTTTAAATTTGCGTGGTTTTGTTTGAGTTGCAAAATCCACTTGAACATGACGCTGCTTTTTTCGAAGTTTCTCAAGAACCATTCGAGTCACAGAATTTGTTTTGACGTCGTTGTATAGAGAATGGAAAAGTCGATTCAGTCGTAACAACGTGAGTGAGGAAATTCGAGTAGTTTTGACACAGAAAGCGAAATTTGAATACCAGACACTTAGCTGCAAGATTATGCCAAAATTTCATGTTTTCCGTCCCGTTTTTGCTCATTTCTCGCACGCAAAATGAGCAAGAACGCTCATTTGTACATTATTCTAGAGAGAAATAAATGGCCTTTTTAGAAAGTGAACCATGGATGGGGAAATGTTGGCAGTTTTCTCAAAAAAGGCTTGAATTCAAGAAGTTTTAGATTTGCGTGTTTTTTTTTTGAGTTGCAAAATCCACTTGAACATGACGCTGCTTTTTCGTTTCTCAAGAACCATTCGAGCCACAGAATTCGTTTTGGCATCGTTGGATAGAGAATTGAATGGGGGGATCAACTCACCCCCCCTGGATCTGCCCTTGCAGGTATAACCGCGTGAAAAAAGTTAAAAATCAAAAGATAGATTTCAAAGTGAAATGCAGTGTGGACCCAAGAATATTGTACGCCTGAACTGAGGAAGTTGTTCATATTTTAACCTACGACATTTATGATAGTATTTACTCCGCGCATCTTAGGGACACCCTATAAATACTTGAACCTGGCTCGGACTTATCATCTTTCTTAGCCTTGAAACAAAGTGGAGATCTTGCAAAAATAGATACATTTGGAGAACAATTACTTTAACCTGAATAATGATAAAATTGACTGTAGAAAATTTCTCCCGTTTGTTCTATGCACACCCCTAAAAAATTAGCAAACATACGAACTTTGCCCATCTTCCATTGCATTTGGTTATTCAACATGTGACTGAATCTAATTCCGGTTTTGTATCCAGGCCGGAATTCAGCGAAAGTTTGTACAAAGTGGAAATATCAGAGGCCGTGCCAGTGGAAACGGAAATCTTAAAACTCCAAGCGACAGATAAGGATGAAAACGACCGACTGATTTACAGTTTCTATTCGGCCGAGAATGTTTTGTCGTTGAAAACCTTCAAGCTGGATTCCATTACCGGTAAATGCCTGAAGACTAATAAACCATTCAATTGTACGAACGATATTCCAGGCATAATAAGCCTGGCCACGAACCTGGACCGAGAGACTTTGAGTGAGCACATTCTCACTGTAATGGTGCGCGATGCTGGCACGCCTGCGAAGAAAAACCTGGCCAGAGTGCACGTTATTGTGCACGATCATAATGATCATGCCCCGCATTTCTCTGATAAGATCCTTGTAAGTTTGCAAGAAAATATCTGAACCAGGGCCTGTAAATCATGAGCGTTTGCAGGTGGGAAAGGTATACGAAACTGCATCGATTGGAAGCGTTGTCCTCAAAGCCCTAGCAGTCGACCATGATAAAGGCGAAAACGCCCGAATCACCTACACAATTGTATCAGGAAACGTCGGCAATGTCTTCAACATTGATCCTGATCTCGGTATGTCCATCCCAGGAAACGCCTGAGCTGTTGAATACTCTAGGAATTTTCAGGGACCATCAGCATAGCCAGGGAACTGGACCTGGCAAGCGCCTCAGAATACACTCTACATATTCGGGCTACTGATCATGGCCAGCCTCCTCTTTGGTCGACTGTCCCCGCCCATATTTCTTTGACCATGGCTGACAATGCTCCTCCCAGGTTAGCTGGAGCATCGGCATCGAAGGCCTTAACCAACCAACTGGCTCCTGTTTTAGGTTTGTGAATAAGGAAATTGCTGCAGAAATCTACGAAGATCAGCCGCTGGGCAGCTACGTGGCCCACTTGGACGTGCGAAGCATGTCCTCATTGCAATTTGAGATTCTGGACGGCAACAGCGGCGACAGCTTCATAATCAGTCCAAGTACCGGGGTGATTACCACTCAGAAGTACTTGGACTATGAGACCAATAAATTCTACAACTTATCTGTGATAGCCATCAATATGGTAAAACCTTGAAGGCTTTCGCCGGAAACTATGGCTAATCAACGGGTTTCTAGGCCTCGATATCAGCCACTTGCAACGTGATCATTCACATCCTGGACAAGAACGACAACGCTCCAGAGTTTCTTCAGCTGAAATACTTTGGCGTGATTAGCGAGGCGGCCCCAGTAACGTCTTTGGTGTTGACCAATTCCAGCAAACCGTTAGTGATTCGGGCTTTCGACGCGGACAGTGATCGGAACGCGCTGCTCAACTTCGATATCCAGGAGATTCTCCCGAGGACGTATTTCCAAATCGACTCCAACACTGGCGCGATCAGAACCCTGCGGCTCTTGGACCATGAGACTTTGCCCAAATTCAGTTTCCATGTACAGGTATGAAGCAAAAAATACACCAAGTCAGGGCTCTAGATCGGCAGGGATTTTTGCAGGTCTCAGATATGGGGAAGCCCAAGCTTTTTTCGGAGACGATTGCCACTGTCGATATCGAGGTGACGGACATAAACGATTGTCCGCCGATATTTTCCAGCCCTGTCTACAATGTGACCATTCTGCTGCCCTCTTACAAGAACGTGGCCGTTATTCAAGTGGACGCCGTCGATCCTGATAGCTCAGAAGGACAGTTTTTGAAATATGACATTATTGAAGGCAACAAGTTGGGTAAGTTGTAAGGTTTTGGTCTGAACACTTTAGTCTAAATTTTTGATATTCATTCAGGAGCTTTCAAGATCGACTCCCAAACTGGCATAATCACGTTAGTGGATCCAGAAAATCTGAAATCCTCAGCTTCATACAAGCTGCACGTCCGCGTTTCCGATGGAAAATTCTCGAACGTAGCCAAAGTCTACATCAGAGTGGACGAATCCGACAACAGCGGCCTGGTGTTCCAAAAGACCTTCTATGAGGGCACTATTATGGAGAATTCCACGAAAATTATCACCGTTTGCGTGGTGAATGTGCTCGGAAGCGCCTTGAACGAGCACATCGAATTCCGGATTCTTAATCCCACTGATATGTTTGCCATTGGGCCGACTTCAGGTAAGAGATAATGGTAAGTCCGGGGATCGGTCGGAGTTGAAAACATTGCCACTTAGGTGTGATCCGGACCACTGGGGCAAAATTCGATCGGGAAATGAAAGACAACTACCATCTGATAGTGGAAGCAAGAAGCAACTTGCCCTATCGGGAACGACCAAGAGTGGCGCATGTTATAGTGAATGTAACGGTTTTGGATATAAACGACAACTGTCCGATGTTCGTCAACTTGCCCTACTATGCTGTGGTATCCGTGGACGATGAAAAAGGATCGGTAAGAACACCCGAATGCCCTCGATCGGCTGGCTCACTTTTCCCTCCTAGGTGATCACCAAAGTCCATGCCATTGACCTGGATAGTTCAGATAACGGTGAAGTCCGATATGAGCTGATTAAGGGCCATGGTGAGCTGTTCAAAGTGCAAAGAGAGTCGGGCGATATAGAAATTAAACAAAACCTGGAAGGCCACAACAGAGAATACGAGCTCCTAATCGCCGCCTATGACAAAGGTACTAATCACGATAAGTTGGGCCGTTGTTATTCAATGGAAGAGCAATTGCAGGAATAACACCCTGTCGCACCGATGTTAAGGTCCACATAAAGGTCATCGACCGATCAATGCCGGTGTTCAAAAAACAATTCTACTCGGAAATGGTGCCCGAAAACGTCGAATTGCACTCTCCATTGTCCATTTCCATTGAAGCCGAATCGCCTTTGTCGAGGAAGTTAATTTACAGTATTGTGCGAGGCAACGAGCTGGAAGAATTCACGCTTGATTTTAATACTGGTAAGTGCCACTCACTTAACCGTTTGTCTTGTTTAAACCCACATTTTTCCCTGAAATGTTAGAACTATACGAAACTGGTTAGTAGAGCATTGATCTTGATTTGCAAAAAATATGAGCAAACACTTAAATCGAGTTTTACTATTTAGTGACATCGCTGCGCTCATTTCGAGCTAAGACCAGAACTGGGAACCTTAGGGAATTTCTAGCTTACGTTTTAAATTCCAATGGTGCCCCTAAAGGTATTCTAGTGTGCGGTGTGAGATTTCCCTGTAGGATTTAACCGTTCAGTTTTTTTAATTAAGTCACTCAGTACCCAGATTGGCCTAATTAACTTTAAGGAGTGGTGTTGGATTTTCCGATTTAACTATATTAACATTAATATGGCACGTTGTAATATTTCAAGGGGCTGCTGAAGGCCCCCAGTAATAGCACAGTCTCGTTTTTAGCAGCCTCATTTGGAATCATTAAAACAGTTAATTTGACTGAACAACATTGACAAAACAACCCTACATTAACTCTAATGTAAAGACTTAAGAGCCTACTCTCTAAAATCCGAATTATTAATAAATCCCTTGTTTTTCGCAGCTCCAGAGAGTAACAATGGGCCTTGTGAGTATTAGTCTTAAATTTATTTGAGCTTTTGCTTTGTTTCATTGAGACCAGCTATTGTGTGTTTTGTATTATTAGACGCATGAACCCGACCACTTATCTCTTTTCTCCTCAATATTGAATATTCAAACAATGCCGAAATGGGACTGGAAGTCTAATTTTAAAGTTACAGGAATTGATTTCGGTCATTTTAATTCATTAAACTTTGTCGATGTTGGTAATTTACCTCTCGCTTTGCCCCCGCTGTTGTAAACAAAAGAGATAATGTGGATCGAAGATAAATTTCCTTTCTTGTCTAACACTAATACCGCATTTTTGCTTTTCTAACCCACGCGCTAACCGCATGAGACCTTATTAGAAAACTTTACTAATTTTAGGGAACTTTTGCCTGTTTTTCTCTAATGTTAGTTGGAAAGGTGGTGTAGATAAATTCCTTTTTAGATTAGTGAGAGAGATTTTCAATCCCCGCGACTTGCCACGTAGAAAAGAAAATGCCCAACTGTTCATATTCCAATTGTAGATATATTTGTTAAAAACCGCTGAAGGCAATTGATATTTTTAATATTCGGTTTCTCGTTTTCCTTCACTGCATTTTAGACAAGCAAACTTACGAATTTAATCGAAATTGTTTAAAAATGATGTTAATTAATTTATATTTAATTCATATTGCTCCTTTTGTCTATATTCCACGCTTTAACCATAATTTAAAGCACAACTGTTAGTATTTTCAACAGCCTAGATTCAAGAAATTAATTAATTAATTGAACTTGTTTAAAAACTCGCCACCTGCATCGGTCTGAACTATTCAGTTTTGTTGTCGTTTTAATTTTTGTAGGTTCACTTTATATCTTGCCCATTTCACCTCTGATTAAATTCAACAGCTTTCCCTTCCACATTAGCTAACTGATAGAAGTTGGTTCATCGGCGCTTTTCCTCCTCGTGAAAATTCCAAGCTGCTTGAAAATATTGATTTGCCCACAGTTGAACTCTTTTTGGTTTACTTTTATACACGTTTCCTCATTCTTGAATCCTCGCGGTTTCCAAAATTGAATTTATTATATTTTTAGGTGTCATTTCCGTTGTGGACGAGCTGGACTTTGAACAGACCCCCCAATACGAGCTTCTAATACGGGCAACTGATTCCGTGTCCGGAGTGTATGCAGAAGTGCCAGTAAGTGGAAACCATATCAAAATGAACCAAAAATCCTGTTCAAAAACGGCCACTGAAATGTTTAAAATAACCCTTTCAGGTATCGATAGTTCTAACGGATGTTAATGACTGCCCGCCTGAGTTTAGTCAAGAATATTACAACATTTCGGTATCAGAGGCTGCTCAGTTCGGCTCCCACGTCCTAACAGTGGTCGCTCACGATAATGATACAGGAATTAATCAAGATATAACCTACTCGATCCAAAAGGATAAGGACAACAATGCCACTGACTACTTTTACATTGATAAGCTGGAAGGAAAGATCTTTTTAAAGCAGAGTTTGGACCATGAAATGGCCAGCGAACATCATTTTGAGGTCATTGCTACCGACCAAGGGGTGCCCAGCTTGAACACCACTGCTCATGTATGGGTTACAGGTAAAGGCGTGTAAATTGCCACTATTTCCATTTGTGTGCAAATAAATGTTTTAGTACTGGACATGAACGATAATCCTCCAAAGTTCGAGCTCTCCTCATATTCCTGCGGCTTGTCGGTTTCCTCCAAACGAGACCAGTTTGTTACGATCGTAAAGGCCAGTGATCTGGATGATATTGACCAGGACAGTCTGAAATACACCATGGTGGCTGGCAATGAGCAACAAACCTTTTCAATGGACCCGAACACCGGAATTATTTCATTGGGTACAATTTTCTGTTTTTTTTTATCCCACATATTAATTGTTTTCAAATTTCAGTCAATTTAGCCAACTTCGGAAACCAACAGATGATGCTGCTGAATGTATCAGTGAGCGATGGGGTTTACACGAACTTCGCCAGACTCAAAGTGGAACTTATTCCGGCTAATCTACATCCGCCCAAGTTTAGGGATGTCATTGTCGGTAAGACTAACACATAATTTAATGTGAATCAAATAGTAATTTTTTTCTGATTTTAGACGTAGCTGTGTTTGAAAATCGCATGCCTGGAGTGTTGGTAGCAATAGTAAATGCGACCGATTTGGATTTTGGCGAATTCGGAACCATCACCTATAGCATCCATTCGGATTTGCTTAGTGAAACTTTCAGCATCGATGCAAGCAGCGGAAAAATAACCACCAAAACTATGTATGTGAACGTTTGAAAACGAATCTTGGGATTCATTTTGGTTTTTTTCCGGGCAGTTTGGATCGTGAGAAGCAGAAACAGTACGAGATTCCAGTGATGGCAACAGATGGAGGAGGACTAAGCGACTTTTTGACCGTAAGAGTGAAGGTCTTGGACGAAAACGACAATGCCCCCAGATTTTTGCTCAAGGAGTATAAAATCTGCATTGCTTCAAACTTGACAACGGGGGTTACATTCTCTAAGGTGAGTGGAGCAGCTGAAGAAGGAATTTTACTTGAAACCTCATCATTTATTGCAATTTTCCAGATCAAAGCCACTGATGCGGATGAAGGCCCGGCAGCCCAATTGGAGTATTCAATTTACGAGAGGAAATCATCGGAAGTCGCCAATATTTTTGGTATCAATCCATCTACAGGGGAATTGTTTCTCATTAGAAATGTCAATCAATGGGGTAAGCCGCAAAACCTTGGAGATTTTGATTTTTCCATTATGCGAATATGTATTTATTGGTGTGAACGACAACGATATACATAAAGCTTTCCAACGAAAAAGTTCCATATGCATTTGTACAGTATTTACTGCATAAGATAGAAGATATCGTCGGTTGATCGTGGCAGCTCAAAAACCGCTCAAAATTGGTCAACAAATTTCATTAATTCGGTTCCCGAATGCCTAAAGCATTTTCAAATCAGCTCATTGTATTATTCGCTTCCTTGCTTCCAGAATTAATGTTTTTTGGAAAAATCGACTTCGCCCCCTTTGAAATTTTCGGCCAAAATTCAAAAATTCATATGCATGTTTTTTGAACTCAATAGATTATCTCCGACCTAAAAAGCTCCTCAATGTGTATTTTCTTGGGTGGGTTTATGAAAAAGCAAAAATGGTCGGTTAGAGATCGGAAACGCTGAAAAAGTACTTAAAATTTGCAAAATTATCGATTTTATCGGATATCGAACTTCCAGTGCGTTTTTCAGTGAGTTCACTCGGTTTCAAATAATAAGGAGGAATTAATTGATTAAAGATAGAAAACTCGAAAACTAAACAAAAATCTCGGTTATTTCGGATCTCAAACTTGTAGAGTTTTCAATGAGCTGATTGGATTTCTGGTCGCCTTGAAATAAAAATTGAGAGATTTGATATTTTTAAAAAAATCGACCCTATGAAATTTTCGGTTCGGTCAAAATTCAAAAAATTAACATGCAAGTTTTTAGAGTTCAATCGATTGTTTCGACCCAAGAGGGTTTTTTGCCCAATGAGCATATTTAAAGTGTTTTGGTATAAAATAAGAAAGAAATGCTCGTTTAAAGATAGGAAACGCTCAAAAAGTACCTAAAATGTCCCCAAAATATCGATTATTTAGGATTTGAAATCTATTGCGTTTTTCAATGAGCGCGTTGCATTTCTCGCTTTTTTTAGATAAAAATGCGGCAGAATTCGCATCACTGAGAAAACTGATATTTTTAGAAAAATTCAACCTCTGCCCCTTATTAGTTTCTGCATTCAATCGGGCAAAAATTTATTTTCCACGACGGCCACTAGTTCTTTCGACAATTTTATTTCTCTGGTGAATAATCGAACGGTTCAAGCAATCGAAAAATCCACCTTCTTTCCCATTTACTAAGCAACAAATGCACATTTCAGTGGGAGAAGTGTTCCAGTTCTTTGTCCGAGCAACCGACAAAGGAAAACCGGAAAAACACAGCGACCTGCCAGTGGTTATTCTCATTATGGGCGCATCCGATTTTCCTCCGACTTTTGAGCGAAAAGAAAGCAAATTCTTCCTATCGGAAAACTCGGCCACTGGAACGGTGATTACCAAACTAAAAGTCTTCTCTAATGTGTCCGTTAACTTTGAGATTGGTAAGTTTTTCAATTGGCAAGCTCGGATACTAGCTAATGTTTGTTGCTTGCAGTGTCGGACTCGGAAGAAAATCCGCAATTTTCCATCGATGGCCAAGGCCAGGTGGTGTTGGCGCGGCCATTGAATTTTGAAAAACAACCAACCCATCTGATTGGTGTGCTGGCTTTAACCGATAGCAGCCCTCCGCTATCAGCGCTGGCTGAAATTGTCCTGCAGGTGCAGGACGAGAACGATCATGCCCCGATATTCGAAAACAGCACCTACAAGCTCATTTTGGCGGAGAATGTGCCTGAAGGATCCTCGATAATGAAGCGTACGATTTTTATTTCGCTTTAAATACCCATGGACTAATTCGAGGATTTTCAGTTATCGCCCACGATGAAGATCAGGGAAGCAACGGCGAAGTAAGATACAGCTTCACGTCGGAAAATTCGGAAATAGTCGACTATTTCGCTATAGACACTCACACTGGATGGCTGAGCACGTTGGTTAAACTGGACAAAGAGACCAGGCCAGAATACAAGTTTTATGTCACGGCCACTGATAATGGAAATCCAAAGCATTCCACTCGAACCTCTGTGAGTTTAACAGCACCAATAATAACATAAGATTGTGAATATTTGTTATTTGTGTTTTTTTTTAGGTCACAATTAAATTAAAAGACTACAACGACAGCCCGACGCTTTTCAAAGAAAAGCTTTATCAATCCAGTGTTAAGGAGGACGCTCTGCCTGGAACTGTTCTTCTAACCCTAACCACCACAGATTTGGATAGCGATTTGTCCACTCCGGTAGAATTTTATATTATCGCAGGTAATTGCTTAAGGAATAACTCATTTAACCCAAATTGATCAAATTGTGGTTTAGGTGACCCAAGCTCGCAGTTCCAAATTCGCCAAACTGGAGAATTATACGTTGCAAAAAGTCTGGATCGAGAAAAACTGGCTACTTACAACCTAAACATTTTGGTAACTGACGGCCTTTTTACCGATACAACCAAGGTTACCGTGATGGTGCTCGATGCAAATGGTAAGAACTTACTTTATTATATGGAAGACTTGTTATGTTGAGTCGGAAATTTGGACAATTTTTGTGGAAATGAAGCGAATTGAGTTTAGAAGTTTATACTTAAAGAAACGACTCACCTTTAGAATTCACGCTGGGGAACATGCAAACAAAAAATAAATATTACAAGCACTTCATTTTTAGATAATCCTCCGTACTGCTTGAAATACCGTTATCGACAAGTCCTATCAGAAGGCATTTTGCCTGGATCTTTCGTACTTTCCGTCTTGGCAAGTGACGCTGATGGTCCAGAACATTCAAAGTTAAAATATGTTTTATCAGGTAATAATTAATAGATTTCAAACGATTGAATCAGACTTGGCGCTTATTTTTCAAATATTCTCGCAGGTGATGGATCGGAAAGCTTCTTCTTAGATAAAAACACCGGAGATTTGAAAACGATCATGTACTTGGACCGAGAAAATCAATCCAAATATATGTTAACCGCTCACGTACACGACAAAGAGCATTCGACCTGGGAATGTTCCTCGCAAATTGAGTTGGTTATTTCCGATCTAAACGATAATCCACCGGTAAGTATTCATTCAGAACGCCCTAGTTTTCGAAGAATGTTTAGTGCATCAATCGATCAGAGTTTATTGCCAGTTCATAATCACACGCAACATCAAGTCAAATAATTTTTTTTAAACTTTTCAAAAAGGAAAACGACATTTTCCTGGAGCCACCAGGATAATAATAATCTTAAATGAAAAGGAAATTAGAACTGTTATAAATTCTTAAATTCTGGTGGTTGTAAATGTTCATCATTGTGCGAGTGATCTTTGAAAAAACCCACATGTCTTTCCTCTTCTAACTGCAACCCCCAATTGAACCTGATGATAACAGTTTCAAACAATTTCCAGCTATTCAGCCTACCGTATTACTCAGTAGCCCTTCCAGAAGACGTTGAAGTCGGCACTTTAGTAACAAAAATTCACGCTACCGATGCCGACATTGGCATCAACCGAAAGATCAAATACTCCTTTATTGACTCATTTAACGATCACTTTCTGATGGCCTCTGAGAGTGGAATTGTGACGCTGGCAAAGCCTCTGGATCGGGAAATTAGGGCGATGTACAACCTGACTGTCCAGGCTGTGGATCAGGGAACACCGCAACTTTCCAGTATCGCCAGTTTGATCGTGAATGTTCAGGATATCAATGATAATCCGCCAGAGTTTGCCAACAAGTACTACTTTGCTACTGTTCCAGAAATCGATGCCATTGGTAAGTGCAAATTTACAAAATCCTTTTAGTTGTGTGTTTTGTCTTAACTTTGGGGTCCTTGATGAAAACAAAAATTCGTATCTATTGTATGTTAAAAATGAACAAATTTGATTTTTTCTATTGACTTAAGAAGCTGCCGAATAGCGAATATAAAAGTTCTGGGTCGATAATAAGGAAGATATCGTCCGTTGAAGATTGCGACCGCTCAAAAACCGTTCAAAATAGACAGAAAATGTTGATTATTTGGGAATTGGAAAGGTCCCGGTGTCTTTTAATTAGCTCGTTGCATGCCTTGGCTCTTTCCGATGAAAATGATGTCTCAGTCGAGGTATTTGGAGAAACATAAATTTTTTGGAAAAAACGACCTCATTACCCCGAAAACGACCCCCTTATGAAATTTTTGGCCAAAAATCAAAATTTCACAATCGTGTTTTTTGCCCTTATTGGATTGTTTCCGACCTAAGAAATTTTTTGGAAAAATCAAAAAACAGAAAATGTTGATTATTTGGGAACTGGAAGGCCCCGGTGTCTCTTAATTAGCTCGTTGCATTCCTTGTCTCTTTCCGATGAAAATGATGTATCAGTCGGCGTATTTTGCGAAAGTTGAATTTTTTGGAAAAATCGACCTCATGAAATTTCGACCTAAGAAGCTGCCTAATAGTGAATATAAAAGTTGTGGGTCGATAATAAGGAAGATGTCGTCCATTGAAAATTGCGACCGCCCAAAAACCGTTCAAAATAGACAGAAATTGTTGATTATTTGGGAACTGGAAAGGCCCCGGTGTCTTTTAATTAGCTCGTTGCATTCCTTGGCTCTTTCCGGTGAAAATGATGTATCAGTCGAGGTATTTTGAGAAAGTTGAATTTTTTGGAAAAATCGACCTCATGAAATTTTGACCCTTATGAAATTTTCGACCAAAAATCAAAATTTCACAATCGTGTTTTTTGCCCTTATTGGATTGTTTCTGACCTAAGAAGCTGCCCAATAGCGAATATAAAAGTTGTGGGTCGAAAATAAGGAAGATATCGTCCGTTGAAGATTGCGACCACTCAAAAACCGTTCAAAATAGACAGAAAATTTTGATTATTTGGGAACTGGAAGGCCTCGGTGTCTCTTAATTAGCTCGTTGCATTCCTTGTCTCTTTCCGATGAAAATGATGTATCAGTCGAGGTATTTTGAGAAAGTTGAATTTTTTTGGAAAAAACGACCTCATGAAATTTTGACCCTTATGAAATTTTCGACCAAAAATCAAAATTTCACAATCGTATTTTTTGCCCTCATTGGATTGTTTTCGACCTAAGAAGCTGCCTAATAGTGAATATAAAAGTTGTGGGTCGATAATAGGGAAGATGTCGTCCGTTGAAGATTGCGACCGCGCAAAAACCGTTCAAAATAGACAGAAATTGTTGATTATTTGGGAACTGGAAAGGCCCCGGTGTCTTTTAATTAGCTCGTTGCATTCCTTGGCTCTTTCCGGTGAAAATGATGTATCAGTCGAGGTATTTTGAGAAAGTTGAATTTTTTTGGAAAAAACGACCTCATACCTTATGAAATTTTCGACCAAAAATCAAAATTTCACAATTGTGTTTTTTGCCCTTATTGGATTGTTTCCGACCTAAGAAGCTGCCGAATAGCGAATATAAAAGTTGTGGGTCGATAATAAGGAAGATAACGTCCGTTGAAGATTGCGACCGCGCAAAAACCGTTGAAAATAGACAGAAAATGTTGATTATTTGGGAACTGGAAAGGCCCCGGTGTCTTTTAATTAGCTCGTTGCATTCCTTGGCTCTTTCCGATGAAAATGATGTATCAGTCGAGGTATTTTGAGAAACTTGAATTTTTTGGAAAAAACGACCTCATACCTTATGAAATTTTCGACCAAAAAAATAAAAATTTCACAACCGTGTTTTTTGCCCTCATTGAATTGTCCCCGACCTAAGAAGCAGCCCAAGTAACAATTTTTCTTCCTTTCATTCATTCACAGGTACTGAAGTAGTACGAGTTCAGGCCACATCGGAAGACATCGGAGCCAATGCGGAAGTTTACTACTCAATCATCGGCGGCAATGAACACAAGAAGTTCGCCATCAACAACAAAAGTGGCGTGATCACCATTGCTGATATGTTGGATTTCGAGCGTGCCAAGGATTACTTTTTGACCATACAAGCGATTGGTAAGTTCCCTTGTGTCCTCCTGGTTGCTTCTAATGATGGTTCAAACCTCCAGACGGAGGAATACCGCCGCTGAGCAATGTGGCCACTGTAAACATCAGTGTAACCGATTGCAACGATAATGCTCCGGTGTTTTCGCAAGGATCATACAGCGCGAGAGTTCGGGAAGATATCCAGATTGGCGGCCAAGTCGTACAAGTGCGTAGATACCCGGTCGGTTTGGTTAATCTGGGGCGTAACGGTGTCTTTTCCAGATTACTGCTATCGATATAGATGGCGAAGAGAATGCCAAAGTGTCCTACTCAATTGTGAGCGGTGACAATTTGAATCAATTCTCAATCGATCCCAAATCTGGGCATGTAACGGTTGCAGCGCCCTTGGACAGGGAAACTATTTCCAGCTATTTGCTGGAAATTTTGGCCAAAGACAACGGCCTTCCAGTTCTATCGCGCCAAACTACGCTGAGCATTGAAATAGCCGATGCTAACGATAATCCGCCAACGTTTTCACAGCCAAATTACACCGCAGTTATCCAGGAAAACAAGCCGCTGGGTAAGCATTATCTAATTGCGCTGCATGGATAAAAATTATTGAAATTTTTTCCATTTAGGACATTCAATATTGCAATTCAAAATCACCGACGGGGATATTGTGCCGAATACCGTTCCTTATACGTTCGATATCCGGGTGGGCAACGATGGCAATTCTTTCCGTCTGGATCAAGACGGTAATTTGCGAACTGCTGCGAAGTTTAACCATAAAATTCGCAATAACTATTTGTTGCAAATTCGGGTGTTTGATAATGGAAGTCCGCCGTTGTATTCCGATACTTGGGTAAGATAAGTTTTATTGCAGGCAATTTGACCGGTCTTTATTGACTGCGTCTGGCAAGGCATTTCAACTGCAGCTGAAAAACTACTTCGTTTATCGCATTTACAGGTTCTGGTTAAAGTAATCGAAGAATCCCAATACCCTCCAATAATAACTCCTTTGGAAATCACCATAAACTCCTACCTGGACGAGTACCCAGGCAGCATTATAGGCAAAGTGTACGCGAACGATCAAGATCAGTATGACACTCTCACATATGCGCTCTATCCAACGGTTGGAATCGCCTATCCAACACACGAATTATTCCAAATTAACCGGTAAGTTGCAGGAAATTTCCAATAAACAAGCTTTGCCAATCGTGTACCGTTTAAGTTCGGATGGCACCTTGACAGCCTTACCGCGCTTGGATGTGGGCGAATATCGACTCAACGTTTCGGTGACCGATGGGAAGTTCTTCACCCATAGTATTGTGAAGATCAATGTGGAAATCCTCACGGACACCATGCTGGAAAACTCCGTGGGAATTCGCTTTAGGGACGTTAGCCCAGAAGCCTTCATTTTGAGCCATAAAAAAGGTGATCTTTAGCAACCAAAATAAGTCCTCATAACTCCAATTCTTCTCCTTGCAGGTTTCGTGAAATCGATTAAAAACGCCATGAGCTGCAAGCTGAAAGACATTGTCATCATCAGCGTGCAACCTTCGCGGGATGAAGACCTGCTAAGAGCCAAAAGGCATCTAAATGAAACGATGAACGCGAACCAATTTGAGAGGTAACGACGATTTTGGACAATTATTGGTTTTCTAACATTCATAATTTCAAAGAGCCAAACGCTACATACATCAAGACCTAGACGTGCTTTTTACGGTCCGCAAGCCAGACAAGGGCTTCTACTCATCAGATTCCATCAGAAAAGCAATCAGCGACAATCTAGAAGAACTAGAAGAAAGCACCAAGCTAGTAGTGGAGGAAATAATCAGGCCAAAGTGCAACAATAAGTACTGCATGTACGGGATATGCCAGGATCACTTTACACTGAACACCGCTACCATTGATCCAGTTTCCACTGATGTGACCAGTTTCGTCTCGCCAATGCATCGGCAGAAGTTGGACTGTTTGTGCAAAGAAGGTGGATAATCTTGATCTTTCTCCAACCGAATGGAATAAATCTAATTTTAATCAAATGCAGGATATGGAGGCGATCGATGTGACACAATAGTGAACGAATGCGCCCGAGAACCCTGCCCAATCTTCAAGCTTTGCGTTCCAGACGCTTCTCAAACAGGATATTCCTGCCAATGTCCTGAAGGATTCGCAGGCCCATCTTGCGACGTTGATATATCCAAATGCCACGACCAGAACTGCTATATTGCAAGAAACCCGATATCTTTCAGTGGGAAAAGTTATTCTCAGTATCGAATAATCAACAAGAAGTCGATCGAAGACCAGCTCAGCCTAAGCTTAAGAGTTAGAACCATACAACCAACAGGTAAGCGAACTGGGGATGTCCACATATCCGTTGCACTCAACCATGCTTTCTTAAGATAAACATTTAAAAACAAACAGATTAGAACAAAACATACTGACCAAAGCAAGCCTCTATAAATATTCAATAATTATAGGCGACTTTAATTTGAACAAAAACGAAACAGCTTCAAAGATTTTTACAAAATTCGGACTTTATAAAACAGCACACCCCACCAACTTTTCTGATGCCCGAAAATCCGGATTCAACACCGGACGTTCTACTGTACACAAGAAACTTAACGAACACCATCAACAACATAAACTTAACCAACGAACTTGGATCCGACCACCTGGC